ACTGACACTTGTAGAATCCAAACTGACTGACACTTGTAGAATCCAAACTGACTGACACTTGTAGAATCCAAACTGACTGACACTTGTAGAATCCAAACTGACTGACACTTGTAGAATCCAAACTGACTGACACTTGTAGAATCCAAACTGACTGACACTTGTAGAGAATTTACTGTATATCGACAGAAAGGTGAGATGACGAGGACTTGAAACTGCAGTCAGGGTTGCACGAAGTACATATATCTCGTAATTGGCTTTGATTCAGTTTTAATTGAACGACGAAAAATGCAGCATTCGACTCTGGATGTTACTGCACCAATGGGTGCAGCTGTTTAATGCTTCAAATTACGACCTTGCTATGCAGAATGGGTAAAGAGCAATTTAAATGGTTTGAAAGGGTGAATAAGACGGAAGAAAAATTTTTTTGATAAAAGAAATGGTAATGATAAAAATTTGAACGATTCCAGAATTCAAGGAAGAAATACTAGGAGAAATTTTAGGATAGTGCTTAAATGTAGATCGGCATACAGTAGAAAAAAGTACGATACTCAATGATTGAAAGAAAGAACTCTAATTTAACACTAGAGCTACCAGCCGAGTCAAAATGACCCATTAGTGACTTCCCAAAAATGAATTTTTATGTAACTGAACCGTGATTGGAAAATTCGATTCATATCCATTCAAATAGAAGCATACATGTAGAAAATAAATTCGGAAAGTTACAAACACGATAATACTGACCAGTATTGAACATTCACGTTTTTTCGAAAGATGCTGATTTTGACCCGGTCGGTAGTTTTAGTATTAATTGAACCAATACACCACCGGCCAAATATTTGGAATCACTGTGCACTGCAAGTTGCACAAAAATTCCCCCAAAAAGTTAACATTTATAATAATTTTTTATCATTCAAATCAATCGACACGAGGTAAAGTACTGTTGATATCCACAACATCAATTTCAAATCAATAAAGAATTAGTGGCAGATTCAATGTTCCAGTCAAGTGATTCCGAACTTTTGGCCGGTGGTGTATATTAAAATTGATAATACATAAAAACAACAAATTCACTTTAAAAAAAGAAAAGAAACAGAAAGGAATGATATTCACAAAAAAGATTGTCTCGAATTAGAGAAGATAGAGAAGACAATTAGGTGGCCCGTTTTACACAGCACACGCTGTATTTCTTCCATCGACTATACACTCGTGTGGGTACTTGTTGCACCTACCTGTAGCGCGCCGGTGCTGAGATTCGAGTTTCCGCTGCCGACGCTCGCGTTGTCAAAATCACCCCCTTGGTGCTCGGTTTGCGCGTTGTTCTGCACTGGCGTCGCCGTGTTCGTTCCATCTGTGGAATGTGTTTTGTATACGTGATTATAGGAAATTTCCTCTGTTTCACCTATCGCGCCGTACCTTTACGTTTTGGCGAACACTATTGTGTCGATCGTTCGTTGCTCAACAGGTTTAACAGTACCTTACACTTCTTTTTTCGAACGGACTCTTTTTTGTAAGTTTTGTGTTTCACAAACGACTGTTCTGGAAATCGAGCTTTCAACCTTTTACAGGTGGAGGATTGCTGATTACTTGTGCAGCAATATAACACTGTTTAAATTTCTTTTTATCGCGTGAAAATGTTTAAGTCTGTGGGTTGCGTTTTTAGATTGATTGCGTTGGACTATTACTGATAATAATGCGTCAGCTAGTAAGCAAAAATGAATTGTGTTACGTATGAGAAACACTGCTATGTCGAAATAATATACGAGGGCGGATTGAAAAGTTCGCGGCCTAAGTGGGAAGAACTGCTGCTAGGTGCTTGCAATTTTTACGGTGTAACGACGTACGAAGTTTCGTGGCTCTGTCGGTTTTTTGTTCTCTTTTACGGAGGAGAGACGAGTAGAAGCGAGGAATGATCCAGTACCTGGTGACAAAGGACATCACCGCAAGGACCTTGAATGATTTTCGCAAGAATAATTTTTGCAAAGTCCTTGAATGATCTTCGATGTGAGGTCCTTTATCTTCAGGTATTGGATCGCTGTTCGTTTTCTAATTTAGTCCTTTCTACTCCGTCTACTGCAAAAACCTCTACTTCACTAGCTCTAAAAGGGAGAAAAATGACGACAGAGACACGAAACTGTATACATTAGTACACAATTAATTACATATTATTCGGTAAAAATTACAAACACTTAGCTGCAATCCTTCATACTTAGGCCGTGAACTTTTCAATCCACCTTTTATCATTCGAATCAATCGATATGAGATAAATTGATAAATGTAGAATTGAGATAAACTTCAGATCTATAAAATATTAGCAGCAGATTTAGTATTGATGAAAAGTGGGAGGTGATTTCAAACTTTTGGCCGGTAGATCACTTAAAATTAACATTAGACCAGTGTTTTAATTCAAAGGATACGAATTTTTTTGAAAAGAGGATTAAAATGTTGGTGGAAAAATGGGAAATGGCTAATACACTATCGATTAACAGTATCTAAGTGTAAATACTATTATTTTTGCATTGAAACTTTGCTTCCAAAACGACATTACTTACGAGACGACCTAAAGTTTCACCTTTTAACGAAAAATTTAATACTTAGAGTGTGTTCTTCAATTATTTTAATAAAATGACTCTTTTGTAATCACGTCAATCTCTTAATTTCAGTTACACAGACACGAAATCCCCTCTGAAATATTTCTTAGTAGGTAAATTGCTGGATTATTACTAATAATAATGCGTCAGCTAGTAAGCAAAAATGAATTGTGTTATGTACGAGAAGCACTGCTATGTCGAAATAATATAGTAGACAGATGCAATCCTGGTCTCTTTTTCTTAAATGCGCAACAAACTTTCTGTCGTGCACTTACGGCTTTTTCCTTCACTTCGACTGCGATTTTCGAAGCGTTAAGACGTCCTTCCGCGCCGAAGAAAATAAAATACGTTTAAGAGAATTCGCAGTGAACACCATTTATTTTAACCCATTAATCCAATAGGTTGCGTTCGTAGCGTGTCCACCGGTCAAAAATTTCGAACCACTATGCACTGCAAGTTATACAAACATTTCCAAGAGGAAAGCTAGCAAGTTCAAGAATTTTTAACAAATTTTTTATCACTCAAATCAATTGTCGTATACCTCTCTCCTATCTTTCATTAGTTTTTAGTCATCCTGTCTCCTTTCCTTAACTGTAAACAAATCCGCATCATCCTAACGTTAGTCACCCCGAAACCTAGACCTCCACATCATCCTTTACTTTTACTCATCGCAGTGGTCTTCACGCACCGAACGTCACCGAACTGTCTAATAAAGTCGAATAGTACTACGCGCAGAATAGCTCCCTTATTTCGCCCCAGTTTCCATCAGGCTCTCCTACCGCGTACCTATTGAATATAATAAACCAACGCAAGGAATCGCGAGCCGCGGAATACAACACAATCGAGACGAAATAAATCTTCATTTATCTATGCAATGTTAATTTCAAATTTTTAAAGAATTAATATTGTAAACAGATTCAATTTTGGTGTAAATTGGTAGATGGTCCAAAACTTTTGGCCGCTGGTGTACGTTTCGCTGATTACGAAAGTGGCCTAAATCACATATTTTTCGTTTCGAAATATGTATTTCAGCAAACGACACCTTCACCAACTCACGCATCATGAAAACAATCTCGTCACCAACCTGTTACAAATCAACGACCACACATACAGACTGAAGAGGGCTCACCCCCTCAAACTAGTTAATAGATTTACCCAACCATCATAACCGTCGTGACAAACACTAGTACTACTGGTACATTCCTGTAGATCTTCTATAGTTACTATTTAATCTTTAGTTTAACGCATGTAATACTTATACTAGTCATGTCATTGACCAAAGCCAATATATTTGCTAAAAATTCCCCCGTGGAATTGATTGTAAGTTTTATGGAGTGCAATAGAAAAAAAAAACAGAAATATGTATTTCGACGTTTTCCACCGAACGGTTCAATTTCCGACTATGTCGCAAAATGGTTCCACATTATCTTAATGCGAATCGATGCAGTACAAAATTACTGATAAACTCGCTTCAAATTGTTGATTTAGATCGTTTTCCTCAAAGGGTTAATTGCGTAATAACTCTGCGGTACAGAATAATGCCGTGCAGAATAATAATAATTACTTTTGTGAATAAATTGGATTCAGGGCACCAGAATCGCTCGATTGCACGTTTCCGGATAACCGGATTTTAAATGCAAGGGAAATTTATACAGCAATTGTAAAATGAATCGAATTAACTTCGCGACCTTTTCACTTCGAAGCTTTTCACTTCACGAACGCGGAGATAACACGTAATACGGAATGCTCGAAATTTTCGAACGAAATACAACGCATGGTAATGACGCTAGAAACATTTCAATCCCACCTTAATTTCAACATGTCGAAACATTATGAATACCTCTCTCGGCGTCGAGGATTTTCCTGCCCACGCCTGGAATTTTCGGTAAATTGTTTGTCGGACGACAGGTAATACGACGTCGAACGCATGCAAGTACATTAAAAACGAACATTTTGATGCGGCGTTAATGAAAAAGTGCGCCGGTTCCAATTAAAACACTGGTCAATACTCACAGCGGTTCCGTTTTTTCCCCGTTTAAATTTGTAATTCTGCAAAATTGATATTCCGCGACGCGCGTGCGGAAAATTTCCATAACGTTTCGAAGAATTTTCACCGACACGTATGTACAGAGAGAGAGAGAGAGAGAGATTCGTCGTTTTGATGAAATTAACGTCCTTCCTCCGCGATACGGAACAGATATACACTACTGGCCAAAAGTTTCGAATCACCTCCCACTTTTCATCTTTTCATTTTTTGTAGATCTGAAGTTTATCTCAATTCTACATTTATCAATTTATCTCATATCAATCGATTCGAACGATAAAAAATTCTCAAAGTCGCTGACTCTTTTCTAGAAATTTTTATGCAAATTGCAATGCTCGGTGATTCCAAAATTTTGGCCGGTAGTGTATGTATATACTGGGTGTTCGATGTGTCTGCACTTTCATGACACCAAAACGAAAATAAAGAATTTTATTTAAAAAGCAGGAGATGGCCTTAGTGTAGTCTTAGAAGATTGAAAGCAAAAGTTTGATGAAATTAGCGTCCTTTCTTCAGGATACGAAACAGATATACGTATATACAGGGTGTCCAAAGTGTCTGCATTTTCATGACACCAAAACGAAAATATAGAATTTTATTTAAAAAATACAAGATAATTTTAGCACGAGCTTGAAACATTAAAGGTAAAAATTTCTCTTTTCACACAGTGAAATTTTACATAAAAAATGACGATAAAAGTATTGTTACATTTTGGTCCTATCACCTGTCGTTCAGTAGTTACGTCAAACGACATTTATCGTGGGACACTCTGTATAAAGGGTGCAAATTGCAGCCGTTTTTACTGCAACTTGTAGCCGACTGAAAACTGATCAACTTTTGTTTAAAACACTTTTTCGTTGGATCACCGAAAGTGCTTGAGAAATCGTGGTAACTGTTATGTGGGGCAGTTACTCTCACTAATTTTCGGACACTCTTCAGGACAGTACAACTTCTTCAAAATTGGACCAAACGACTTGAGTCTTTTTGAGAAATTAGAAGGATTAGTATACTACACGATGTGTGGAAAAAATTTGGAAAAAATTGCAATTTGTGAAAATCGCGAGAAAAATTGTAAAGGTCACTTTTCGCAACTTTTTCATCTGAGCCCGCAATGAAAATTTAAAAAATACGTTTTGTAGATTTATGTCAATTTTACGCATGCTGAAAATTTCATCGAAATCAATTTTACAATTTTCTTCGCTCAATAATCCTAACTTCTAAAAAAAAAGCTCAAGTTCTTTAGGCCAATAATGGCGAAAATAAAACTGTATAAACACTTCAGCACGGTCGTTAATGTACCAATTAATTCCACGTATAAATTCATTCGAAATACGGACAGCCTCACTTATTCACCATGCGCGCGCGAAAGCACCAAATGAATATTTATGCAACGTAGAGATACTTTAACACGATATAATACCTTTCTCGAATATTGAAACTCGCCGCGAATCGATACAGTTCCGCCCCTCGATACGAAGATTGACGTTCCTCGTTCGATGCATAAAACCGGAAAGATAAACACATCCTTTGATACGATAGCGAATTCATGTTATTAACGTGGAAAGTAAATATGAATACATGCACTGCGGTTTAAAAAAGAAAAAAAGAAGAATATTCAGGGACCGATGTAGAAAGTGTACGCGTTTAATATACCGACACCGTTCAGCATGTCCCGCTTAATTACTAAACTTATGCGTCACGCAACACAGGAGCGGGTCG